GGGCTTAGGGTAGGGAGGTTACACGTAACTTAGTGGGCATTTAACAACGGTGAGTAGGGGCTTAGGGTAGGGAGGTTACACGTAACTTAGTGGGCATTTAACAACGGTGAGTAGGGGCTTAGGGTAGGGAGGTTACACGTAACTTTAATGGATTTAATAGATGTTAAATTTTACCCTGAGGTCTCTCGGACAACTTCTGAACGAATTACAGACAAGGAAACGAACAGAATTGTGTAGGTTTTTATGATCAACACTATCATTAAGGCACATTAAATTGCGATATAGAGGCTTTTTGACAGTACCAGCAAAATTATGCTAATAAGATGGCCCCAACAAAGTCAAACATTCCTGGTTCAAGGCCTCAACAGCCGACACGTGGTTGGCAGTTGGTTCAAGTTAGAGAAGGAACCTGAATAAATTAACAAAATTTATTTTATCTGTAACGAGGTTTCTTTGTTCAAGGAATTTGTTCAACTCTGCTTTTCGATTTAGAGGCAATTTGATTGGTTTTAAAGATGCATGCTATTGCCTTTAGTCGTCAACTATTAACATCTATCCTTCTCATCAGGACGTAGCCCTGCTACTTGACCCCCACCATCACCTGGGCAGCCCTGCTACTTGACCCCCACCATCAAGTCAACAAGAAAGTCAACTGGTCAACAAGAAAGTCAACTGGTCAACAAGAAAGTCAACTGGTCATCAAGAAAGTCAACTGGTCAACCCGGATGTACAAGTTTTACATGTATTTTATGCAGGGTGAGCAACTTTGATATCTACGAGAATTACCTTTAAACATTACGGCAGGATTTTTATTCATTCATTTTATACATTCTCCCCAATGTATTCATAATAATTTCGGGCGACATCATGCAATTCAAGTATTATACGATTTCTTGACATTTCGCCCGCACCTACCTTTTCAATGGCAAGTGCTTTAGGCGTCAAAAATAACACGCTCATGCGCGTCTAGAAAATGTGACAGAATAATTTTAAGGTTCAGTAGAGACCGGATCGCCACGACTGAGCACGCGCGTTTTTGAGCTATGACTGGGCTATTCCACAACAGCAGCCAAACCCTAGCCGCCATTGACGTCAAAAATTATATTCACCTTTATCACAACGAGCACATACATCATGTATGTGTGTGTTTCAGTGCCGAAAATTGCTGAACACGAAACAATTTTTTCTCTGTATTGTGTAATAATTTTCTTGTCACGACCGCGTATCATACGCAACCATCAGTCGGATGTGCTGCGATGCCAGCAAGCTAATGGCGGCGCGGAATTATTCATAAATTCACCCAGAGAAAAATACAGTAAGTTTCAGCTTATGGTGACCTGTAATAAGTATAATTTTTTCCATCATTGTTATCTTCGATTTGTTATGAGTGAGCAAAAGTGTATTCATCGCGACATTTATAGCATATATGAGTCAATATTATACCTGCCAGCGGTTGCAGATGTTCCCCGAGTTTTTTATTGAGAGTTTTTATTTGAAACGAATATTGGAATGCGTTTTACCTGCAGAGGCGAAGCGAGCGCAGTGAAGCGATGAATTATCGAAATAACAATAAGAATATTGAATCGTGATTCTGAATGCCTTTAACCCACAAAATGTTATGAAAATAACTTGAAAAGTCCGAAGGTTTGCATGGAAGCAATGCATATTATAGGGTCATAATAATGCAATTTTGCTTTAAATCCACGAGATGGATTGTGGAGTCCGCGGATATCACATACGACCAAATTCAACGAAATAGTATCCCATCGAATCTATTCTATGAAATTATGCAGAAAACGGAATTCTATGGCATACTCGTATATTCAGGACGTTTGACGCTTCAGAAGAATTCCTCAAAGACCGGTGATCGAAATATTCATTTAATTTAGAAAGCTTTTGCCGGTGGTGCCATCATCTTCATTTGTGTTGCTGAAGTCGGCCTAACAGGTCACGGTTTCGCTCGCTTCCTTAGATTTCGAAACCTCAGTTTAAGTGAAAATATTTTCCTAGATTTAAGTTTGAAATACGAACCTCAGTAAATTCATTTGCAGATAAATAGATATTACGATTTTCTATATCAATTTAATGGAAGCAGCGCGAAACAATTTGATCACGTGTCTGGTCGTGGATAACACACTTCTACCTGTCCAATCGATCTTTTGCACACTTGCGTAAAGTCGGAGACAATGCTGGAAACAATTGGTAGAAGAAATAATTTAATTTTTTAATATTAAATATAATTACAATTTTTCTTCAAATATTTAAAAATAACATAAGACATTCATTGTACATGTGTATTATCGGAGACACTGGATTCTTTATAAAAGTGAATATTTATATTATATATATCTTGTATTTTATATTTCAAATTTCGACCCAGTAGGAATTTTTTCAATTCGAACTTTTTTCAACATATCAATAATTTTCTTCATTTAATAGTGGTTGAAGCTTATTAAACACACATGAAACCTACTATATATTGTTTATTAATGTGTTAAATACTTATTAATAATCATGCCGATTAATAATATGTAATTTCAGGATTATTTTTGTGAAATTAATTGATGGTTTGATTATCTCTTGTTTTTCTCGACAGCAGACGACTGACTGACTTGACTGACTGACTGATTTGACTGACTGACTGACTGCCCCCTCTGTGTCCTTGCTTGCGCGGGGTGGCTCCTGTGTCACCTTGAGTAAGACTGACTTAACTGACTGACAATGATTGACTGACACTGACTGATTTCACTGACTGACTTACTTGACTGACTGACTGATTTGACTGACTGACTTACTTGACTGACTGACTGCCCCCTCTGTGTCCTTGCTCTCGCGGGGTGGCTCCTGTGTCACCTTGAGTAAGACTGACTTGACTGACTGACAATGACTGACTGACACTGACTGATTTCACTGACTGACTTACTTGACTGACTGACTGACTTGACTGACTGACACTGACTGACTTGACTGACACTGACTGACTGACAATGACTGACTGACTTCCTGACTTGACTGACAATGACTGACTGACTGACTGACTTGACTTGATTGACACTGACTGACTGATTTGGATCAAGCGGTGGCCACGCGAGGTGCCGCAAAGGCCACTTCTCGAGCGTCTGGCAACAGCGCCGCATAAGTGGCGGTGACCAGCCTCTCCGCGTTCACGCTACGCTTGAAAGAATATCTCCAGGTGAAGATATGAAGGCATGAAATACAAATATGGAAGTATGAAAGCATTTAGGGATGGAAATACAGAAGACGTGTACCAGAAATGTAATGAAATTTATTTAGCTTATCACAGAAAAAATCAATAAATTAAAATTCATTGCCCACTTGGGAGATAAAACAAAAACTCTTGACGTGAACGCAAATTTATTCATGGAAGCAATATAAAGCATGGCTCTGCCGGTCAAAATTGAGAGCTTTTCAATTTTCAAGTAATTAACCTTGAACGGAGATTAATAAATTTGATATCTTACATACTTAACAATCAAATTATAATAAAATTTATTTGTCTGTTATCGGCGACAGGCCACATCAGGCCTACTCTTCAGCGCCGACACCGCTATGTTATGTTAGGCTATGTCTGCTCCAATCTCTGTACTCTGAACTGGCCACCCGGTCACCCAGTGTCGGCTAGCCATCTTTTCATCTCTGGAATCGATATCTTACGAACATTTTGAATTTCATAGAAGTAATGCAGCGTCGTTTATGAATAAATATTTCGATTAATATGCCAAACCAAAAAGTCATTTACAAATGAGTTTCGAACACCTCGCGTCTAAAATAAGTGAATACAACTTAATCTTCCGTTTTCTAAGAATAACCATAGAAGATATTCGAGGAGAAACTACTCCTTTTCGTTTCACCGAGCGAGCTGGCTCAAATTCCATAATTCCGTGTAAAAGTCAACATATGACCGGCGAACAGAGGTTCTCTTCAAAGTGTTAAAGAAGTCATCGACATTTGGGGTTGCCTATAATCGGTGTCGGTGTGAGGTTTTACTGCTATAATCGCTGTATAGCGTGTAGGATTGCCTCATCAGCATGAAACATGATCGCTATCATCTGGTCCTTTGTTCGAGACTAAGTTCGAATATAGCCTGGATTGCCAAGTCTTCCTTATTTTACTACATAGACAATGCAGATAATTACTGTGACTCTGAGAAAACTTAGCAAGCACGTCACATTTTATGCAGGGTGAGCAACTTGAACATCTCCGCTGTGAATTACCATTGTTCATTATGACAAGATTTAATTTTATTTTATACATGGGCCTCTATAAATGGTTCTATTTAACATAGGTCAGAAACCACGTGAAGCAGTCACATGCATTTTTCATTTATCGTATTTTTCGCCCCGCTCCTATATTTTCGACGATAGGTGCTCGAGGCAACAAAAATATATTAATTTACATACGAAAAAGAACTTATACCTCAATAAACAGAGCTGTGTGCGAACCACATCGCCATGACTGAGCACGTGCGTTTTTTGAGCTATGACTGAGCTATTCCACAATAGCAGCCAAACCACAGCCGCTTTTGTCGACTGTAGGTATATTCATTAACCTTTATCACAACGAGCACATCATGTATGTGTGTGTTTCAGTGCAGGAAATCGCTGAACATGAAACAAGTTTTTCTCTGTATTATGTAATAATTTTCTTGTCACGACCGCATGATATAAGCAACCATCAGTCGGATGTGCTGCGATGCCAGCAAGCTAATGGCGGAATTATTAATAAATTTAACCAGAGAAAAATACAGTAAGTTTAAGCTTATGGTGACCGGGAATAAGGTATAATTTTTTCCATCAATGTTATCTTCGATTTGTTATGAGTGAGCAAAAGTGTTTTCATCACGACATTTACAGCATATATGAGTCAATATTATTTGCCAGAGGTTGTAGATGTTCCCCGTGTTTTTTTATTGAGAGTTTTTATTTGAAATTATTTTTAAATTATAAACCGTACTGTTAAAACCGTAACTCTATAATTAATACTACATTCTTCGTTTAGCCGTATCCATGCATCTTTTTACAGATTCATTGTGACAGCTTCAAATAGTCGAGAATATTTGATAATATCATTTATGAGTGAACTTTCAGTGCGCTGTGGATCCCACATCGCCATGACTGAGCATGCGCATTTTCGGAGCTATAACTGAGCAATTCCCAACTGCCGTTAAACCTGGGCACGCCATCATCGATAGTAAGTATATTTATTAACCTCCATCACAAAAAAATTTACCATGTGTGTGAAAAAATCAGTGCGGGAAGACATATAGCATGAAACACTTGACTACAATTTTTTTTCGCGACTGCATTTTACTGTATATGTAGCTGTATGTCTGACGTGCTGGGATGCCAGCAAGCGAGTAGAACTATTCACAAAGATAATCCCAGAAAATTGAAGGAAATTTCAGCTCATGGTGGGCTGGAATACGAAATACATTTCATCATAACTCTCATCTAGGACTCGTCAAGACACCATAAACCAGTGGTTACCAAACTTTTTCAGGCTGGCGCCCCCTTTGGCTCCCCAGCGCCCCCCACCCCCGACAGACCGACAGACACGTATAAAAAAACAAACGCCTCTGTCTTCATAATAAGTACGCTGCAATTTTAA